TTTACGTTTTTCTGAAGAATGGTTGGCATCAATACACTTCGGAGTCGGGGATACGACTAAAAAAGATTTGAAATTTTAATGTTAAGTAAATTTTAATATTATTAATGCTCTATTTTTAATATTATTTTCATATTTTTAGTATTGAGCACTATATAGATAAAAATATCTGTTTATATTTTTAATTTTTAATTCTTAATCCCTATATATATATATATATATATATATATATATTTCTTTTTTATTTCACACTCTCCTTCTCTCTCTTTATTAGGGTGTTTCAATAACTTGGACCGATTTTAAAAGTGAATTAAGTTTAAGCGTCTAATGATTTCTTTTCGTTCTTTCAAATTTAACAACTTCAACAATTTCAACCGTGGAAAGATTAACAATGAAGGAACTTATTAAAGTTATCGAAGCCTATTACGAAAATAGACGTTCCAGCAGAAATGCAATGAGAAAATCCCAGGTCGGATCATCTCTCGAAACAGCGAAGTCAATTGGCCACCACGATCGTGCGACTTTGATTTCTTCCTTTGGAGTCATCTCAAAAGTAAGGTCTATGCGAACAAGCCAACAACAATTCAACAGCTGAAAGATGAGATAATTAGGCATACTGGTGAGATCGAAGAGTAACTACGCAGAGACGTCATCAAATATTTTAACCATCGAGTGGAGGTATGCCGCCGAAGCCTTGGCGGACATTTTGGCAATATTATTCACACATAATTGCCATGACTTAAATAACATGATCCAATAGAGAAATAAATAAATTTCATCAATAACACTGATTTATTTACTGCTGACTTTGATCCATCTTAATAAAATACCCTTTACACTTTACCAGACTAGCCATTGTCATTTTCCGCTTTAAATTTAGACACCCCAACCTTACCCTGACTTGACATCTGTGAATGTAACTGAGATATTGATACAAATTATTAACACCTTACGCCCCTTTTCTTTAAACAATTGCTCTAGCCGTTACCATGGAAATTTTGATTTTAATAATGAATATGCTTATAAAACACGTAAATTTCAGAAATAAGTTATTCCCAAAAAATTTCGCTTGAAGATGGAACAGAGCTTAGTGCTTTAATTCAATTTAATTCAAATAATTATATTGAAGTTTTCGGCTCTTGTTTTGAAACATGAGAACTCTTATATAGCGTGTTGGAATCATATTTTTAAATAAATAATTATATATATATATATATATATATATGTGTGTGTGTGTGTATTTGTGTGTGTGTGTGTGCGCGCGTGTGTGTGTGCGTGTGCGCGCGCGTGTGTGTGTGTGTGTGTGTGCGCGCGCAAGTATGCAGAAAAATAGGAAGGAAGACGTCAGGTAAATAATCCGGAGTTCCTTAGTATTTTTGTTTTTATTTTTAAGAAGACAGTGCTCCGTACATATGTAGAGCTTATATTATAATTTTTTTTTTAAATATGATTCCTTCGCTACATAAGAGTTCTCATGTTTCAAAAACGAGAGCCGAAACCATCAATATAATTATTAAAATTAAGTTGAATCAAGGTGTTGGGTCCCGTTTCATCCTCAAGCGAAAATTTAGGAATAAGCTATCTTGTGGTTTGCGCGTGTTTATAAGTATGGTCCATTGCAACATTAATTCCGATGTAAACGGCTAGGCCCGCCATCTTGGTTACGTGGTCAGACTGTTAATTCTTATCTACAGATTCGTCACCTTCGCAAAGGTTATATCAAGGTAGAGAGGGGTATCTATTTCAAAGCTAATGGTGGTGGGCACCGTCTAGTTAGTTTTCAGCGAAGAAATATTTCATGGCGCGACGTCAAGTCGTTAAGATTCAACTTAATTTTAATAATTATATTGATGGTTTCGGCTCTCGTTTTTGAAACATGAGAACTATTATGTAGCGAAGGAATCATATTTTTAAAAAAATATTATAATATATAGATATATATATATATATATATATATATATATATATATATCCCTCTCTCTATATATTCATGGTGCGATGGGTAAATTGTCGGCATTTTATAGTTTTAATTTCACGGATGCGCGTTATTTGTTTTTAATTTTGTTGACTGCACAGTATAGTAGGGTCAGTTGGGCACCGTCTGGGAGAAAAGAAGCACTATGAGGCAATTCACTCCGCCAGAAATTTGGAAACGGTATGCTGTACTGCTTGGCATTCGCGCCGGAAGCTACAAAACGAACATTTCAGAGTGTTTGCGTGCCAATCTGAGGACAGTGCAAAGGATTCGGAAAGAGTTGGATGAGTCTAATGATGATTACGAAGGTACGGCAGCTCGGAAATCTCATTCTGATCGTTCTGATAAGAAAATAACTCCCGAATTTGTTAGTGAAGGCCTTAACACGGAGGCCTTGGGAAGGTAGTGTTACTCTGGGTCAAGAGGGTGGCTGCTGGAAGACCATATGTCTGGCAACAGGACTCTGCACCATGCGACACAAGCAGGCGAACCCAGTCATGACTGCCAGACATTTTCTGCGACCATATTACCACTTACATCTGGCCGACTAACTCCCTAGACTGCAACCTTCTTGATTATTATGTGTTGGGTGCAGTTGAGTGAGAGACCAACAAAACTCTTTGTAACACTGTTGTGACCAAGTAATTGATTAAGAAATAACAAAACAAGAGGTTGCAGATAAATAGCGTATTGAACAGCAAATGCAACAGAAGTGTGTTACACGACTTGGGAATGTGTGTCGGTTGACCAGCGTTCAGTCTGTCACCGTTCCCCTAAGGCTTACTTTTCTTACTACTTTATAGTAAATGGAAGAGTCCCAAAATAGACTCATTAGAAGGAAGACACTACAAGAAACACCAAAGATGAAATGAAAGCAAGGATTATGGTAGCATTCACCATCTTAAACAAGGAGACCGTCCAGAAGAGTTGCAGAAGATTCCAAAGTCATCTGGAGGCCACGGTTGAAGCCAATGGCGATTTTATTGAATAAATTTACTCTTTAGTATTTCAAGATATTTGTGTGTAATTTTGCTAAACATATCTGTTAAAATGAGATTTTATTACTGAGGCCTGGTATAGTGTCATGTCATCCGTGATACCTTTTGTAGTAAAGTTACGATTCGAACAAGATGTTGCCTGAATTGCTACCTTGTCCATATGTGAAAGATCTCTCTGATAGATGAGGTTGTGTGAAGGGAGTTTTTATATGAAACTTCAGGATCAACTTCAGTCAGATCAGAACATCGTGACTTTTCACTTTTTGTAGAAACAATATATCACCATAGATTCAATCATTTGAATCAAAATCAGCAAGGTTTGTGGCTCATTTTTAAAGTTTTGTGGAATACGTTGCCATTTTTAGTGATTTTGGGGGGCCCTGAGCAGGTCTGGCCACGTTTCGGCACGGCTCCATCCCAATTTTCAAAAAGTTGGCCCATTTCATTGTTTAGACACAAATGTGTGGAATAAAACACTTCACCACTTTTTTTTTTTTTTCAAAATTTTGGTCTGTATAGTCCACCCCTAGTGTCAGTGTTATTTTCATTTTTGAGTAATTCAGACAAAAATTTATCCATCGCACCCTGTACATTTCTCTTTCTATTTCACTCTTTCTCTTTTCACTCTCTCCTATATATATATATATATATATATATATATATATATATATATATATATATATATATATATTTGGTTGGATAGATGTGAGTTTGTGACCCTGGGTTTCACGCTTTTGCGATCGTCAGACAAACTCCAGGGTCACAAACTCACATCTATCCAACCAAATATGTTATCTATCTCTGATATTGAGCGCTTTCTAATAAGTACCAGTATATATATATATAAATAATTATATATATATATTTATTTATATTTATATACACACTTTTCACACACACTTTTCACACACACACACACACACACACACACATATATATATATATATATATATATATATATATATATATATATATATATATATATTTTGATATTTTGATGGGAAGAATATATTACTGTTCTTTTTTGTAAATCTTCTTCAATAATCGCTCCTCCATTAACTCCGTAATTTTTTTTTTTTTCACATTTTTTTCTTTTCTCTTTATCTCTTGTTTTCCGTCTCATCTTTCTTTCTTCTTCTTCTCTTTTATTCCTTTTTCTTTCTTTCTTTCTTTTCTGGCTACTATTTCTTCATCTCCTTCTCTTCCCATTTTTTTTTCTTTTTCTTTTCTTTTTTTTTTTCTTTTTTTCTTGCTTCTCTTGCCAGAAACCATGGACTTTTCAATCTCCCCACCGACCAAACACTCACCGACCCCCAACACCGACCACACAGTCATCGCCTTCCACATTTTCGGACAACTTACCTTCCGCGTACGAGCGGGATTTCACATTCCCAACGAAGGAAAAAAAAATCCTCCCCGTTCTTGGAATTGTCATCGTTCCGTCTCTGCCCTCGATTCAACAATGTTTCCTCCCAGTCATCTTTCGCTTCTCTTGCCACAGGAATAACGCCCCCCCCACGCGCCCCTACGCCCCCCCCCCACAAAAGAATGACCAGGTCATATTGAAAACTATGAACTCGCAGAGTGTGATGAGAATTACGAATTTCTGTGTGTGAGTGAGAGAGACAGAGAGAGAGAGAGAGACAGAGAGAGAGAGAGAATGGGAGTGAATACTGGTTGGGTGGGAGGGTAGTTGGAAGCCATGCCAGGATTATGAGCAATAAGGTAGGGGTAACTAAAAATGACGGAGGCGAGGGTAAAAACGTGGTGACGAACTGGTGCCAGAGAGAAGTGATGTGTGGAACGAACGAAAGAAACAGACGAGCGCGCGCTAACGACCCCACGTGCCCAGGCGTCTGACTCACGACCCTCTCCCTAAGCTCTTCTTCTCTCTCTCTCTCTCTCTCTCTCTTCTTCTTCTTCTTCTTCTTCTTCTTCCTGCACATTATCGTGTTTTTCCTTTTCTTCTGTTCTTTTAACTTCCTTTTTCATTCCCTGTCTCATTACAATACTTTCTTTCCTTTTCCAACATGGTCGTCTGCGTCTCTCTCTCTCTCTCTCTCTCTCTCTCTCTCTCTCTCTTCTCTCTTTATCCTACTCATTCCTATCGTGTTTTTCTCTCTCGCTTTCTTGATTGCTCTGTTTTTTCTCTGATCGTCTTCCTTTTCTTTCTTTATCTATTTCTCTCCTACACCCTTCTTTCTTTTTGTCTACACGTCTTTCTCGTTTCTTTCCTCTTTCTTTCACTCTCTTTTTCTCTTTGTTACTTTTTACTTTTTCTATCGTCTGTCTCTTCTATCCTTTTTTTCTCACACTTTCTGTTTTTTTTTTTTGGGGGGGGGTTATATATTTTTCTTTTCCACTGCCCTCTTTCATTCGTTTTCTTCTTCTCTTTCATTCTCTCCCTTTTCTTTATTCCACTCTCTCAGTGTATCAATCTTTTGGTCACTTTCCCCCAACGTTCTTTTTTGTTTTTCCTTTTCATTTCTCATTTTGTCTCTTTATCTCCGTCTCTTGGTGAGTAAGTGTTATATGGGATATAATTTTTTTTTTCGGAATCTATCTATCCTCTTTCTTTCTCTCTCCCCCTCTTTCTTTCTCTCTCCCCCTCTTTCTTTCTTTCTCTCTCTCTCTCTCTTTCTCTCTCTCCCTCTCTTGTCTTTCTCACCTTGTATGTATCTTACTCGTAATTCCACTGTCTTTTTCTTTCCCTCTTTTGTTATCTCCATCTCTAGCCCTCTTTCTCTCTTCCCCTTCTCTCTATCTCCCTCTCTTTCTTTCTTTCTTTCTTTCTTTCTTTCTTTCTACCTTTGTTGTCTCTCTTTATCATTGCTTTTACGCGGCTGAACATATCATTTTCCCATCTCTCTTTATCAATTCTTCTTTCGTCTCTCTGACATATATATATATATATATATATATATATATATATGTGTGTGTGTGTGTGTGTGTGTGTGTGTGTGTGTGTGTGTGATAGAGAGAAAAAAACTAAGGGGACGTATTCTCCCCAACTCTGTCTCAATCTCTGTCATTTGCTAAATCTCATTCGCTGAAGACGTCAAACTTTCTGTTTCTCCCACAATCGAAATCATTTCACTTTCTTTCTATATTTCTAAGTCACTGACTTTTTATATCCGTCATCTAATCCATAAATTACGACCATCTGTACCTGACCCCATCTATCTATCTATCTATCTATCTATCTATACCAGCCTGTTCAAATCTATTTCTGTCTGTTCAAATATGTCTGTCTACTTATTTATATATCTCAGTCTGTTCAAATCTTTCAATCTTTGTTCAAATCCATATAACGTTCAAACTATCTATCTGACTGTTCAAATCTATCTATCTGTCTATCTATCTATCTATCTATCTATCTATCTATCTATCTATCTATCTATCTATCTATCTATACCAGCCTGTTCAAATCTATTTCTCTCTGTTCAAATATGTCTGTCTACTTATTTATATATCTCAGTCTGTTCAAATCTTTCAATCTCTGTTCAAATCCATATAACGATCAAACTATCTATCTATCTATCTATCTATCTATCTATCTATCTATCTATCTATCTATCTATCTATCTCAGTCTGTTCATATCTGTATATCTCAGTCTGTTCAAATCAGTCTATCTCAGTCTGTTTATATCTATCTCGGCCTGTTCATGTCTATCTACCTATCTGTCTATCTCAGTCTGTTCATATCTATCTACCTCAGCCTGTTCATGTCTATCTATCTATCTATCTCAGTATGTTCATATCTGTATATCTCAGTCTGTTCAAATCTATCTATCTATCTCAGTCTGTTCATATCTACCTCAGTCTGTTCATGTCTATCTATCTATCTATACCAGCCTGTTCAAATCTATTTCTGTCTGTTCAAATATGTCTGTCTACTTATTTATATATCTCTCAGTCTGTTCAAATCTTTCAATCTTTGTTCAAATCCATATAACGTTCAAACTATCTATCTGACTGTTCAAATCTATCTATCTATCTATCTATCTATCTATCTATCTATCTATCTATACCAGCCTGTTCAAATCTATTTCTGTCTGTTCAAATATGTCTGTCTACTTATTTATATATCTCAGTCTGTTCAAATCTTTCAATCTCTGTTCAAATCCATATAACGATCAAACTATCTATCTGACTGTTCAAATCTAACTATCTATCTATCTATCTATCTATCTATCTATCTATCTATCTATCTATCTATCTATACCAGCCTGTTCAAATCTATTTCTCTCTGTTCAAATATGTCTGTCTACTTATTTATATATCTCAGTCTGTTCAAATCTTTCAATCTCTGTTCAAATCCATATAACGATCAAACTATCTATCTATCTATCTATCTATCTCAGTCTGTTCATATCTATATATCTCAGTCTGTTCAAATCAGTCTATCTCAGTCTGTTTATATCTATCTCGGCCTGTTCATGTCTATCTACCTATCTGTCTATCTCAGTCTGTTCATATCTATCTACCTCAGTCTGTTCATGTCTATCTATCTATCTATCTCAGTATGTTCATATCTGTATATCTCAGTCTGTTCAAATCTATCTATCTATCTCAGTCTGTTCATATCTACCTCAGTCTGTTCATGTCTATCTATCTATCTATACCAGCCTGTTCAAATCTATTTCTGTCTGTTCAAATATGTCTGTCTACTTATTTATATATCTCAGTCTGTTCAAATCTTTCAATCTTTGTTCAAATCCATATAACGTTCAAACTATCTATCTGACTGTTCAAATCTATCTATCTATCTATCTATCTATCTATCTATCTATACCAGCCTGTTCAAATCTATTTCTGTCTGTTCAAATATGTCTGTCTACTTATTTATATATCTCAGTCTGTTCAAATCTTTCAATCTCTGTTCAAATCCATATAACGATCAAACTATCTATCTGACTGTTCAAATCTAACTATCTATCTATCTATCTATCTATCTATCTATCTATCTATCTATACCAGCCTGTTCAAATCTATTTCTCTCTGTTCAAATATGTCTGTCTACTTATTTATATATCTCAGTCTGTTCAAATCTTTCAATCTCTGTTCAAATCCATATAACGATCAAACTATCTATCTATCTATCTATCTATCTCAGTCTGTTCATATCTATATATCTCAGTCTGTTCAAATCAGTCTATCTCAGTCTGTTTATATCTATCTCGGCCTGTTCATGTCTATCTACCTATCTGTCTATCTCAGTCTGTTCATATCTATCTACCTCAGTCTGTTCATGTCTATCTATCTATCTATCTCAGTATGTTCATATCTGTATATCTCAGTCTATTTCAAATCTATCTAT